ATTTAATATTCTGCATTCAAAAAGTCTAAATTGTAGACATTGGTCTTTTAACCCTTTGTGAAACAGTAAATGTAAAGGTTATAAAAGGTAACTTTGGCCATAAAAGTTCATTATTATAGAATCATAGAAGAGAGATGCTGATAAGAAATGTGACTGGAGGATTGTATTTGACCTGTAAGGCCACTTAGACAAGAACCCTTTTTGATGAAGCAGGATCCACAATCATTTGACTTCTGGTTGATAAATGGTTTGTGGTTCAGTCTTTACAGTTCATAGATAATTTTGCTCTTTGTTACAAGCTACTGTGGTACTGCAAAGTACTTTTTGGCAGGTAGCTTAGTTGTAGGGTCAGAAAAAAAAACACAAGAACAGGGTTTGAAAAACCATGTTTCCATCTTACAACTATAGAATCAATACAGAATAGAAACAACAGAAAACAATATGATATAATAACTAAAGTAGAAAGTGAGACATATTTTTGCTGCTGCTTTATTACTTATGACAACCAAAGAAACCATTGTATTACAGTAAATTAATATTTAGGTTAGAAATGTAAGTAAAATGGTATACATAAGACATGTGCTATATAGAAAACTGGGAAGAATCTGAATATCACAGTATCCCTGTGGTTTAAAGCACTAAAATTAACAATCTGTAACATTGTAGTTCTACTCCTGTATAATTTTCTGTATAACTAGGGTCTACAAATAATGAACAAATACAACAAAATGGAGAAAATAGATATCAAAACATCTTTGCACAGAGTGCTGCCCTTTTGGTTTAGACCCTCACAATTAAAACCTTAAAAACTCTGGGAGGAATTCATGCTTAAAAATCTTCATCCATCCATTTTCTTCTGCTTATCCAATTCGGGGTTCCTGGAGCCTTCCCCAGTTGTCAAGCGAGAGGCAGAGTACACCCTGAATAGTTTGCTAAGGTTATTCCACTCAACTAAAACTACAGTAAAAACTAAGACTAGATATGAATATTTTAGTTAAACAAAATAAAAACAACAGAAATGATTAAATGACCTCATTTGAAATACAAATCAGAGGAAATAGCCTTAGTTTCAGTATTTGTTAGTTTGATAAAAATGTTATTACAATGTGCCTGACATGGTATTGATGGATGTGTTTGAGACACTGGACATGTAACAAGACAAATGGGTCAACTGTTTTCAAAAAGTGAAACATTTCTATTGTTTCCACTGGTTTTCCTAAATTTTGTCTCTGATATTTCCACTAAATACAACAGTAATTA